TGAGAAATAATGATGGATTGATATTATAGATGGATGCTATATAAAAGGATGAAAATACTAATTTAAAGTTAGATGTCCTATAATATCATCATAAAATATAATTTTAAAACAATTACCTATTTTAATCTCCTAATTAATCAACTAATGCTTCTATGAATTCATCAATATAAATCAATCCAGTGAAAACAATAAAAAATTATATATATTAAAATATAAAACTATATTTATCTCTCAAAATTAATATATAGAAGCTAAGAGATCAATCATTATATTTATTTCAACTTTATAAGCTCCTAATTATAAAAGAATAGAATTAAATATATGTAACTATAATAAAACCTAAATTTTTTATCTGTCCTCACTCTACAAGATCTGTATATATATATATATATATATATATATATCATTGAATCACCTTTTAATAATGTTTTTAAAGGTTATAAAAAATATATGTTGTTTGGTTTCTAAAAAAACAAAAAGAAGTATAAAATAAATATAATTGTTGCGTCCAGGAGTATTCGCGGTGGTAAAGAAATATCATATTTAACGTCTTAGCGTTGTACGAAAATCCTGCACGCAATCAGATAAGGAGAGAGGGTTTAGCATTTATGAGACACCAAGATTTTTACGTGAAAAACCCCTGAAAAAGGGGGAAAAACCATGGGGCCTAGCCCAGTTTGAACTAATCCACTAGTATTTGCAGTCGATTACAAATGAGCCCCTTCCTTGGGAGAAGACCTTGGCTTGATGTACATCTTATAGAGTACATTACATAATGTAGATACAAAGAGTTACTATTGACGTATTCGCTTTGTTGGAAGGACTGTAGTCTGCGGGCGACGGAAGTCAGGAGGACCGTAGTCAGCTGGCGACGGAGGTCGGAAGGACTGTAGTCGGCGAGCGACGGATGTCGGAAAGACTGTAGGTTTGACGTCGGGTAGAAGTCTGACGTCTGTTGGTAGCAGAGGAGAGCTCCGGCTTCACTTGAGCGGAGTTTCGGTGTCAGGAGGGAACTCTGTTGTAAATTGGGAAGAATTTCAGTATCACGTGGAAGTTGGGCAGAATTCCTGCGTTCTCCCTAATATCACGCATAATCCCAGCGTGTTCGAGAGGCAGGACGAACTCCGGCGGTGGTCGAGGAGGAGAGGATTCTCCTTTTCCCCTTTCTCCTCTTCTTCTTCTCTCTCTTCCCTTCAGTCCCTCTTGTGAAGAATGAGGGCTATATTTATAGTTTTTCTGGAGTGGCATGGCTTGTAAATATGTGTGAGATCAGGGGCGAACAGAGAGTGGTTGAATGGACGGCTGATATTGAATCCTTTGATCATACACCGTTCGTCAGCCATTTGAAGGCCTTAGTGATGTCGGAATCCGGCGATCTTGGGCTCGTTGGATTCATCTCGTCGAGCCGTTCGATTCGACTATAAGCTCGCTAAAATCGGAGACCGTTTGGTAACTCAAATTGTGATTCGAACCTTCCAACAACGTTTCGAGTCTTCGATTTGGACCCATTTGGGCTTGGATTGAGTTGAATTTGGTGTCGTTGGGTTCGTATTTCTGAGCGCTCAGTTTGACTGTAAGCTCGCTGAAATTGGAGTTCACGTGCTCCCGGATTTAATTTTTGAAGTTTCCAACTTGATTTTTGCCTCTAGATTCGTGCCCGATCAAGATAATTTTTGCATGACCTATCAATAATACATTTAAATTAATTTAATTTATTTAAATGAGTGTGATATAAATTTATTTGATAATTTTTTATCACCTTCAAATTTATTTTGGGGAGATTTACATAGATACCATTTTACATTACTCTATTTATATATTTAACACATGAAACTTTCATATTACATACATACCACTCATAGTTCATTTTCATATCAAATATTATTGATAGAAATGAAAAATATTAGTGCTAGGAAAAAAATATAAGTGGGATATTTGATATTAAAATAATATTAGGATTGTATGCATATAATATTAAAATTTTAAATATTAGATTTATAAATAAGATGTTATAAAGTGATATGTATGTAAAAATTTTTTTATAGGACTTAAATTCCCACCAACCCGGCCCGCCCAAAAAAAGTTTTTTATATGTTATATGTTATCTATTTTATCTTTGAAGATATATTTAAATATGGACAGCTGTTTTAAATTGCAGTTTTTTAAATGCAATTTTTAAAATTATCTCTGCAAGAAAATTATTAAGCTTCTCCTTATCTTTTAAGTCGTCGCTATAAATTATATTGCTCGCGGAGGATCTCCGGCTCGTAATCCTTCTTCTTTTCCTGCTTTCCTTGTTTCCATGGCCGCAATGGCGCCGCCCAAAGACTTCAATATCCACATGCTCTTTTTCCCTCTCATGAGCAAAAGCCATACACTCCCAATGGTTGAGATGGCCAAGCTTTTCGCCGCCCGCGGTGCCGGCGTAACCATCCTCATCACCCCGCTTAACGCCTCCCTCGTCTCCGGTGCCGATTCCTCCATCCGCATCCACCTCATCCCTTTCCCTTCCAACTTCTCCTCTTCCCTTCACACTGTCTCCGACCTCTTCATGCCCTCCCTAAGCACCGAGACCATCCTCCGCGACCCCTTCGACCAGGTCCTCAAAGAACTCCGCCCCGACTGCGTCGTCTCCGACCTCTTCATGCCGTGGACTTACGCCGTCGCGGCAGCTCGTGGCGTGCCTAGGCTCGTCTTCGATGGTTTCGGTTTCTTCGCCCGATGCCTCGAAGACGCCTTCTTGAAACAAAACCCCTTACAGAATCTGTCGCCGGAGACCGATTCCATCGTCCTTAACGGACTTCCACACCGCATGCAGTTTCTCAGATCTCAGTTCCCTGATCCCGACGAATGGGCCAAGCCGACGCCTTTATCCCAGATATGGAATCAGGCGGCGGAGGTCGATCCAAAGAGCTACGGCGTTGTTGTCAATAGCTTCTATGAGCTTGAACCGGATTATGTTAACCACTACAGGAATGTGATCGGCGGTAAGGCGTGGGCCGTCGGCCCTGTTGGGCTCTGTAATCATGGCTCTGTTAAAAATGATAATGAATGCTTGAAATGGCTTGAAGGGAAGAGTCCCGGCTCAGTCGTCTACATTTGTTTTGGGACCTTGAGCGATTTCTCTTCTACCCAGCTAAGAGAAATTGCTCTTGGAATATTGGCTTCCGGCCATCCGTTTATTTGGGCTGTGAGAAACACGAGCAATGATTGGATTCCTGAAGGATTTGAAGAGAAGATAGAAGGAAGAGGGCTTCTGATCAGAGGATGGGTGCCGCAGTTACTGATACTGAATCATCCATCGGTGGGAGGCTTTGTGACGCACTGTGGATGGAATTCGTGCCTTGAAGCAATTTCGGCTGGGTTGGCAATGGCGACATGGCCATTATTTGGAGAGCAATTCTATAACGAGAAGATGGTGGTGGACTTGCTCGGCATCGGAGTTGAAGTGGGGGCGAAGGAGTATGGTCTGATGACGGAAGACAGGAAGGAGGTGGTGACGGCGGCGATGGTGGAGGCGGCTGTGCGGAAACTGATGGGAAAAAGCGAGGAGGCGGATGAGAGGAGGAGGAAGGCTAAGGAGTTGGGGTTGAAGGCCGGGAGGGCGGTGGCGAAGGGTGGTTCGTCGTACAATGATGTCGGAAATTTGATTCAGGAGCTGATGGAGAAGAAGGAAAGCGGTTTCTAAAGCTGGGCGCATTAATTTATGGCTTTGAGAGTGGTTATTACTTGTTAGGGGTTTTGCTGTAGTATCTGTACTTCTTTTTCCTTGCATGGTGTGACGGTGATATCTTATCTCTATCTTTTCAGTAGGGCTGCAAACGATTTGAGCGAGTCGAGTATGTGAGTGTTCATGTTTGTGTTCATTTAATATTAGCTTGTTCAAGTTTGGTTCATATTTGTTCGAGCTTTAGCGTTTGTATTCATATTTGGTTCATTTAAATTAAGGAGTGTTCATGTTCAGTTCATGTTCGTTCGTTTAGTGTTTATCGAGCTTGTTTGCGAACATATTTAACGAATTTTTTTAACTATCAAATAAACACGTCATGAACATATCTATGAACAAACACATTTATAATAAAAGCAATTGTCTATGTAACAAAGGTAATGATTATTTATATTTATTAATTCTATAGTCAAATATTAATTATTTTTATCGAGCTTATTCACGAGTTCAAAATTGAACATGAATCGAGCTTTTATTGAGCTTCTTATCGAGCTTAATGTCGAGCTTGTTCACGAACTTCAAATGATGTTGTTCACGAACATAAATGAGCCGAACACATTAGTGTTCAAGTTTGTTTATTTAAGAATCAAGTATTTAAAATATTGTTCAAATTTGTTTGTTTAGTTAATTAAACGATCGCAAACGAGCTTTAATTGAACCGAACAGCGAGTAGCTCGTCGAACGTTTGGTTCGCTTGCAGCCCTACTTTTGAGAAGTGAATTATCTTTTTTTTTTCTTGAGACGACTTTTAAATTATTTTATAAAATAATTAATTAGTGTAAAAAATTCTAATTCAAAATTTTTGTTAACTAAAATATTATTTTAGAAATATTAATATTTTGTAAAAAAATTTTATATTAAAAAATTACTTTAAGAAACAATAAGAAAGTTCTCCCAAACGAAACAATAAGAAAATTGTCCCAAACGAATCTTAAAAAGTTGTCGCAAATGAATCCTTAAATAACATCAAATATAATTGTTGCGTCTTGGAGTATTCGCGGCGGTAGAGAAATATATAGTTTAACGTCTTAGCATTGTACGAAGATCCAGCACACAATCAGATAAATGAGAGAGTGTAGCGTTCATAAGAGACACCAAAGTTTTTACGTGGAAAACCCCTGAAAATGAGGAAAAACAATGGGGCCTGGCCCAGTTTGAATGAATCCACTAGTATTTGTAGTCGATTACAAATGAGGCCTTCTTAGGGAGAAGGCATTGGCTTGATGTCACAAATGTACATCATATAGAGTGTATTATATGGTGGGAGTTATAATAGATGTATTTGTTTTGTCAGCACGTTCATAGTCGATAGGATGTAGGCCGGAAAGATCGTTTTCTGATGATGGAGATCGGAAGGACCATAGTAGGCGACGGAGGTCGGGAGGACCGTACTCGGCAGGAGATTGGGGTCTGAGTGACCGTTGTTTGGTAACGGAGGTCGGGAGGACCGTAGTCGGCAGGAGATCGGGGTCTGAAAGACCGTTGTCTGGTGATGGAGGTCAGAGTGACCATAGTAGGCGACAGAGGTCGGGAGGACCGTAGTCGGTAGGAGACCGGGGTCTGAAAGATCGTTGTAGTAGGGCGATACTTTGGTAGAACTCTATGCGTCAGGTAGTGGCCCAGTAGAAGTCCGGGTCTCAGGTGGTGTCCTGGTTGAGCACAGGGTCTCAAGTGGCTGTTCGACGGAGCAACGACGTCAGGCGGTGGTTAGACGGAGGTGAGGTCCTTCTGCGGTGGTCCGACGAAGGTGAGGGCCTCTGGCAAAGGTGAGGGCCTCTAGCAAAGATGAGGGCCTCTGGCAAAGGTGAGGGCCTTTGGTGAAGGTGAGGACCTTAGGTGTTGGTGAGGGCCTTTTGGTGAATGTGAGGGCCTCAGGTGTTGGTGAGGGCCTCTGGAAAAGGTGAGGGCCTTTGGTGAAGGTGAGGGCCTCAGGTGTTGGTGAGGGCCTTTGTGTAATATCAAAAATCTGCTCCAGGATCGTCCCAGGACGATCCAGATCGTCCTGGGACGATCAGTGAAAATTTTGCCCAGTTTTGCTCCAGGTGATTTTCTGTACATATCGTCCAGGCCGATCGGCACTGTAGAAAATATCGGCCTGAGAATAGTTCTTGGAATCGTCCAGGACGGTCGGGACGATCGATATTTGGTCTGATCGTCCTGGGACGATCTAGCGATCGGCCGGGCCGATCTGAAGATTATAAAGCTGATTTCAAGTCGTTTTGAAGAGAGAGAAAATCAAATTTTATAAAATAAATATCTGAGGAGAGAGAAAGTCGAGGGCATTTTGGCAAAAGTTGATTTTCGGACGACGCGGAGCCGTTTTCGTCCGAGGAGACTGTTCAGAATATTGCTGTACGCAAGGTAAGGCACATTCCGCCTTTCTCAATTTTTAGAACCGTCGAGTTTGGCGGTATTTTCTGTTCGGATTTCGTTTCCGTTACTGTTTTTCGTCCGTATCTTTTGATTGGTTCAGTTTTTACCGCGTAACTTTCTGTATATTGTTGACGTGCCGAGTGTGCACATTTTGGTTATTTTCCGAAGATTTTTGTCCGGGTATTTTTGATTCGGCGGAGTTTTTCGTAGACTACATTTTTCTGTGAAATTATAAATTCTCTGTGCAGTAGAATAAAAGTTCTGGAATGTGATTATCTATATTCTGTGCGAATTTGGTAAATTTTCTTTGCAGGAAATTTTGTGTAAATTCTGTCTACTGCCGTTGTGCTGCCCGATTTTTGTCTGATTTCGAATTTGCCCGGATTTCTTCTGAATTGAAATGCTATCTGTATGTGCTATAAAAAGGGAGCTATAAGGGGTCTGAATCCTATGAGATTCAGTTAGTGTCTGGGAAATCTGAAATGAGCTCAATCTGAAATTCTGAAATCAGTTCTGTTCCGGATCCGATGAATTCTGTTCTGGTGCTATAAGCACATTTGTTCTGGTGCCGTGAGCACAAAGGGAGGCATAAGGGGCCTGGATCCTATGAGATTCAGTCAGTGTCTGGGAAGGGAGGCATAAGGGGCCGGAATCCGTAGAGATTCCGTCAGTGTCAGGGCATTTAGCTATGAATTAAATATTTGATATCTGATATCTGATTTGATCTGATTCTGATTTCCGTATCTGTTCTGTAAGCAAGTATGATTCTGTTATGTCTGATCTGTTCTGTTCTGATTTCTATTTCCGTACAATTATGTTGGATTTGATATCTGTTCCGTTCAGTTTACTTCTGATTCGATAAGTCTGATATGTTCTGTTCTGATTTGTATTCTGATGTGAATTTATCTGTACGACTCTGATTCTGATATGATATATGTTCTGATTTGTTCTGTTTCGTTCTGATATGTCCGATCTGATTTCTGTACGATTCTGTTCCGATTTCTGATTGGATTTCGGTCTGATGAGTTTGGTTTTGGATTCTGAGAGTTTTGATTGGAGGATTGTTGCTTTGCTGAGCTGTTGAGCTCACTCTTGTTTTCTGGTAGTTTTCAGGTTCTGGGAAAAGGGAAAGAAGTCCAAGAGTAGATTTCTGAGTTCTGATCTGTATAGGTATTGTTTGTACCTTTTGATTTTTGTACGGTCACGGTTTTCTTCTGTATTTCTTCTGTTAGCCATGTACCGTATTTGTAGATGATTGTTTTGAGGAAAAGAAAGAAAAAGATAGATGTTTTGTTCCGCTGCATTTGGTGACTTATAGTAGCTCTGTGTTTGTGTGTTTTTTGAGTTGAGTAATTTGGAAGATTCAGTTCAGAAACCAATTCCAAAGCCAGATCCTGGATAAGAAGGTTTTTGTCGCGGTCTGGCTCGGGCGGGATCCGTCCCCGTCGGGTCGGGTCGTGACACTTTGGCAGAGGTGAGGGCTTCAGGTGTTGGTGAGGGCCTTTGACGAAGGTGAGGGCCTCTGGCGAAGGTGAGGGCCTCAGGTGGTGGTCCGAAGAAGCTCCGTCGGTGGTCCGGCGAGGCTCCGACGATGGTCCGGCAAGGCTCCGGCGGTGGTCTGACGAAGTTCCGGTGTTGGTCCGGCGAGGGTGATGGCCTCATGTGGTGGTCCGGCAAAGCTCCGTCGGTGGTCCGGCGAGGCTCCAGCGGTGGTCCGGCGAGGCTCTTGCGCGGGGTCCGGTGGTGGTCGAGGAGGAGCTTCTTCCTTCTCTTCATTCTCTTCTTCCATCTCTTCTCCTCTTCTCTTCTTGCTTCGGTCCCCCTTTCAAGAGAAATGTGGGGTATATTTATAGATTTTCTGGAGTGGCATGCCCCGTAAATAGGTGAGAGATCAAGGGTAAATGGGGAGTGGTTGGATGGACGGCCAATATTGAACCCCTTGATCATGGATCGTTCGTCAGGCATTTGGAGGCCTTAGTGATTTTGGAATTCGGTGATCTTGGGCTCGTTGGATTTTTTTTGTCGAGCCGTTCGATTCGAGTATAAGCTCGTTAAAATCGGAGACCGTTTGGTAACTCAAATTGTGTTTCGAACCTTCCAACATCACTTCGAGTCTTCGATTTAGACTCATTTGGGCTCTGATTGAGTTGAATTTGGTGTCGTTGGGTTCGTATTTCCGAGACCCTCAGTTTGTTTATATATATATTTGATTGTACATTTTATTGACAATAACTGGCGACTATTGTAATTGTAGTAGTTGTTGATGTTGACTGTTGTGGTTGTGTAAGCTAGTTCCACTAATTAATTGTTATTGTAAGCCGGTTTCAGTTGTTGTTTTACATGTTGTTGTTGTAGTGTTGTGTAAGCTGTTACATCCTTATTCGTTCATTAGTTGATGTTGTAGTTATTGTTATAGTTGCTGTAGTAGTTGTTGTTGTAGAACTGAACTACTATTGCAGTGCTGCTGATATTGTATTGATATGTTGGGATAATTGATTTGATTTATTTGTAGTTTTGAGCTCTTTTGAAAATAGGCATAATATGAGAATCTATCTTTATTTTGATGATTTTTTAAATAGGAAAATGATGAAAAACCTTTCAAAGTAAATGCAACTAGGTGGCTTTTATGTTGTATTACATCGAGCATATACATTATAATTAAATAGATACTACTATCTTAAATAATACAAAATGTTGCCTTGGATGATATCCCTAAATATTCATTACTCATTTACATTTTATTAATTTTAGTACTTGTTGACTGATTTGCATATTTGAAGGTTTAACTTGTGCTCTAGTATTTGTCATTGTTTTTATTATTTAGGTTTTTATCTATTTAACTTGTTTTTTTAAGTTTTTTTTTTTTTTTTTTTTTTTTTTTTTTTTTTTTTTTTTTTTTTTTTTTTTTTTTTTTTTTTTTTTTATGTTTTTGTAGATGGATCTCATGATCTCATATCCAGTTCAATTCTCCACTCCAATACTCCATGAGTTAGAGGGGGTGTAAAGTATCAAAGTAGATAAAATAGAATTTGTGTTTAGAAAACAATGTAAATGTAATTTGTCATTTTTATTTGTATTAAGTATAAGAGTGTAAATGTAATGTATATTAGTGTTTAGTAAATGTAGTTTTTTATACATATAATTTGTAATTTGGTAATTAGTATTAATATTTAACTATTTTGTAAATGTAATCAAATAATTTTTTATAATTGTGTATTTTACTATTTTGTAAATGTAATTCACTAATTTGTGTTCATTTATGGTTGCTCAAAGCCTCAAATAATCAAATACTTATATTTATTTCAGTTTTTTGTATTTTAAAAATTTAATTGAATTACTTAAATAAATCTGAAATCGCACAAAAGGCCAAAATGAGAACAAATCGGTTTGATGGGTCAATTCGGGTTGACCCGAATCCAATTCCATATCGGGTCGAACGGATGGAATCAGTTGGCAGCGGATCAAATTTGGGTTGTAACTTGTAACCCAACCCGATTTGACACCCGTGCTTTGAAAGCCGTGTCAAATATAAAGAATTCCATAAAATTGCCGCGACCTCTCCAACCTCGGAAGTAATATACCGGAAATTGCAGAAGTACAAGTTCCTAAGCTCCTACTACACCGATCGACCGTCGTCTGCCTCACCGATTTTTTATGTGCAGTGCTGATCACTTGTATACCGTGGAGTGCGAGAAATCGAACGTTCTGGAATATCATTGCCATGTGGCGCCGCTGACTTCTGGGCTTTTGCAGATCAAGCGCTCTTGAACCCTAACCCTCGTCCTGTTTCCTTCCAATCTCAGGCCTCTCCATCAATGTCTTGGTTAAAATCAGCTGTCAACAAGGCCGTCGAAGTCAGCGGCAAACACAACCTCACCCGTACTGTCCGCAACTATGCCGACACCGTCGTCCATCAAGCCGGTCAGGCCGTAGCCGGTGGTGCTAAAATTCTTCAGGATCGTATGGTAATGCCTATTCTTCAATTGTTTATTTGTTATCTATCAAATAATACTGTGGTTGATGGAAACCCTAGGGAAGTTCATAATAATTATTATTTTTCTTATTACTTATCGGTCAATTGTTTATAATCTACCATACTTGCACGCCATTTGTTTCCTTTGTTGGTATCTTAGGTTTCTTGATCTCCTTTTCTTCTGGGGTAATCAAAATAATCAGCCCTCAGAAGTTGACAGAACTTCTCAATTGAAGCGTGCTTATATAACGTCCGATGCAATAATTTTCATGTTCTTTGCATTTGCTAAAGTATCTTATTTGTGGATTATTTTATATTGGAATATCTAGCGGCCTTGGAAAATCTGCTCTGTAGCATAGCTTATCATGCTGGATTCCTCTATTGCAACTAGTTTTATATAAAAAAGGCTTGGTGATCTTTTAACCCTCATCATTCTGACCATTTGGCTATATCAAATTAATATTATTTATGAGGTTCATTATTGCCAAAATCATTGTGATTGAATTGCAATATTTTGGCCATCTTTCGTGCATTTGGTTTTATTTTATATTATGAATGAATGACCACTCTGAATGATTTATAGACTCTTCATCAACTTAATATTGGCCTATTTACCAATGCTTCTGATAGCACTATATGTGACATCTTTTAATGACACCGAAAGCTTCATACATATTTTTATGTTGAGAAGCTTTGCTTTGTTACATATGTTTGGTTTACATATGTTTGCTTTGAAAGAAAGAAGTCCTTACAACAAAAAAAAATCATATATTAGATCTTCAGCTGCTATTTTTGACATTAAGTTTACCGGAAACATTGAGAATTCCAACTTTATTTTAATTACACCATGTAATATTGTCAGGGTATTAAAAATTACAGAGGTTTTAAGCAAACAGTAAGAAGATTGGAAGAAGCTGCTGTCTCTTGTAGGGGCCAAGAACGAGTTCAGCTGTTGAGAAGGTGGTTGCCTGCTTTGAAAGTGACTGAACATCTTTCTGGAGGACCAGCAGATGTAAAGAGTCCAGAAGAGCTCAGACCTTCAGAAGAAACCAAGAAGTTTACATCAGTAAGTTTACATGATTCATTAAATGCAATTGTTATAAACTGAATGTTTTAGTATGTGATTCAGTTTTATTTTGAATCGTTTGAGTTGGGTCACAAAATATCTTGAATGAGATATTCAAGTCTATTTATCAATGTAAAAAAAAAAAAAAAAAGATTCTACTTCCTCTTGTTTGGCTTACATGATTTATTTTTCTCCAAGGAAAAGGGAAAATAATTCAGTTCATATCTATTGTGGGAATTATTTGGAAGATCCTAAAGTATAAACAAGCTTTTTCTGTTGTCAAGAGCATAATTGAGGTAGTCAACGACCTTAAAGTTTCAAGTGCGCACACAAAAATAGAGATAAAAACAGAAGCATAAATCATAAGGTTTATGCTGTGAAGTAATATCCAAAAAAGCACATGATCTTTGGCTAAAATATATCGTTAAATAGCTGACAATTTTGTTTAGTCACTTGTATAATGGAGATATTTAGGAAGCATGTTTGTTTAAAAATTACCCATTATTTTTAACTACTAATACCATTTTTAAAGTCTACATTGATCCACGCACATTTATCTTGTGGAATGTCTTGGGAGGACTGATATGTTATTCATACCAATCATCTTAGATTCTCTACTGTTAGAAATCTGAGCTACTTTTAAATAATCAACATCATATATGGAATTGTCATACATGATTAATGCCAAATAATTATTATTGTATTCACGATGGAAGATCTAGACTTGTTAGTGAAACACTCTTTAACTTTTCTTCACATTTTAGTTTGAAAATATGCAGTTTTAGTTTTAATTCTCTGCCACTAATTTAATCAACTCCTATAATAGGTGCATCTCTTACCCTGTATGATAATGTCCAAACCAACCAAGTATATTTTTTTAATCACCTTATCTTTGAAATGTATAACTCCAACCTAAGAGATCTCAAATTCAGCCAAATTCCAAATGCCATAACCTTAGGTAAACAAACTATTTAATGCATACAATCCAAAAGGAAATATCTAAACAGTCCATACACTCAAATTTCCCTCCTAAACTTATCCTAAAACCTTCCTAATCAGCTCTTTTGAAAAGGGTGGCTTGTGCGGCTCATATAGGAGACGAAACTTCAGCCTCTTCCGCAAGAGCTTGTCCGTGTGGACCGACCGGCTGGACCGATCCAATGGACCGGTCTAACACATGCTTAGCTAGTGAGAACTTAATTTGGTTTCAATCCAAGTGTAAGTTGGTTCATTGACATCCATTTGAGCTCAACACAAGTCAGTTGATCTATCTATCTATTTATTTGTTATCATTGGGTTGACTTATTAGCCAAATTATATCTATAAATCATACATGCTACATGCATAGCTGAGTGCATGCATGTTGATCGACATGCATGCATAGATGGATGAATATGCGCTTACATATTTTGATTCAATTTTGTCATGTTTGATTGATCCAGGCATTTCAATCTTGATACATTGGACCTAGATTGTAATTGTTCTTTCCCTTTGATTTGAGCCTGACAGATTTGGTTTTCCATTAATTCTCAAATAGTAAATTAAAAAAACTTTAATATATATATAAAGAAAAGAAAAGAAAAAAAAAAAATCGCACATTCATGTTGTTTGAGTCGAATAGCCTGTGCTGCCAATAGATTCTGAAACGAATCTCACTGGGAGATATTTGTATGTCATGAAAACAAGGCTGTCAGTGCAGAAGTCGCTCCCTTTATAGATGAAACAATCTTTTATTCTTTTCTGATTGAACGTCTAGCAACCGAATCAGCCGTGCCTCCAAGTAGTTGGAATGACTGATGGATATGGTGATGATTTAGTCAAACTCAATCTGCTTGATAAATTTCATCATAAGAATCATCATCTTCATTTGCCTTAACCTAAATATTTGGGCATGGTTTTTTGAACCGTAATCCATTATAACCGTAATGCAACTAATTTAATTTGTTTGCTGTATAAGGACAGCGAAATGGAAAAACTTGTAATTGTTGGTTTATGGCTCCTAATATTTATTTTAGCAGCAATTCATCTCTTGCAACAATTTATAGTTATAGTTTCTTGACAATGCCTTAATTATACCTGCTCTGGTAATAATGTTCAGGTCCAACTTTCTGCCATTGCTGATGGAGGCTGCATAAAATGGATCTATTTTATCGAAGGAATAATTTATTGATCTATGCTCTTAAACAGAGAAATATCTGAAGTTCATTTAATTAGGAGGGCATTGGTACACAATAAACTGATTTTATAAAACAAACTATGTTGTGAAATCAGGCTAATGGTGGCAAATATGATGAATTGAACAAATAAATCATTTTGATATACTTTTTGCAATGCTTAATGTTCTTTTTAGCAATTCTGAATTGTGTGCTTTCTAGGGTGTTAACAAATTCTTTATTTAGTTCAGTATGTGATTCACGGAAGGATTAATGGATTGTGGACTTCTATTTGATAAAAATTGTAGTGCAAGGATATGTAATGCTTTTCTCAAATTACTATTTCAAAGTAGTGCTTCACATGTCTATGTCTAGCCTAATAATCTTCTCTACGATGGTGTTATTTTGATATGAAAATCTATTCTTATGGATTTATTTTGGTGTTACATTACCTTTGATTTTTCATTTAACGATCTTTCTAAATTTTGAACAGATGCTATTTTTTGATTCTGATATGGAAGGCGAGCCAATGAAATTTCGGGATGTATTTCTTCATAGCCAAGCAGTAGAAGGCATTACATTGTCTATGGTTAGTCGGCAGTGTAAATTTGTTATGTGAACTTCCTTACAATGTAGTTATTATTAGCGGTAAACATAGTTTGCATACTTTGTTACTACCTTCGACAATAATTATCTCAACTTTTATCATTAGACAAGTATGACCATCAATGTAGGATATGTATAAATGGCATGGCCGTGGTGTTTATAAAATTTTAATATAAAATATGTAATCAAAATGCCTAATGCCCATGTTTTCTATCATAAAAAGCATTACACAATAAAGTGTAATCTCTTGCATAAAAAAAACTTGTGAGTTAACAAAATAAAAATTAATATTTGTTTCCTTACAATTACATTTCAATATTTCTTGATTCTTCAAGTCATTTAGTAGTCAATAAGACATGAGCATTAAAATTAATCATCAGGCATAACTTCAATAATATGATGTTGTATTCTCCACTCCTAATTTTAAGGACTAAAAAAAAAAATTATATAATCTTCAAAATTGTCGTATCAAATATGAATATATTGATTTATCACTAATTGTATGTGTTAAATTCAAAAAATTGGATAGGAAGAAAACTTATTTTTATTATACAAAATTATGTCTATTTATAGATCTATACAAGATATCTTAATAAAGAAATAAATAACTACATAATAAAACATAATTGCCTTAATATAATCCTTCCTAAATTAGCCACCCAAATATAGAAGGAGATAGGCGTGATCCATGTGAGCCTCCCACAAATTCCCATACTGGTCGTGGGATCAAGTGTCAAGAGACGATTGGGATTTAACAAAGATTAGCGTGATCCGGGTGTGCCTCCCATGGATTCCCATTCTGGTAATGGGATCAGGTGTCAAGGGACGGCTAAGATTTTAACACTACCCTGCAAGATGGGGAATACAGATCTGTCATTCCCAGCTTGGTAATTGGTCACAAAAAAGTAGAGTTATCATATCCCTTGGTGCACCATTGAATCCTCCATTTGGTCAAAACTTTGGGAGGAAATAACTTTAGACATTGTGAAAGCGACAAATGATAGCGATGAAGGTTATATCAATCAAGCCTGCAAGGTGCGGGGCAACAATGAAGGCTAGGTTGAACAATAGCCTTCAAGATACCGGAAATGGCAATAAAGGCCGGTGGTGTGATAACAGAGAAAGTGGATTAATTATCCTTCGAGTCTGTCTCCCTCTCGGTTCTCAAGGGAAGACCGACAATGAAAGCACAATAGTACAAAAGGAATTTTTTTTTTTTAGGGTTGCAACAAGCTTCAAGGACAGGAGCAGAAACACACGTCTTGAGCGACTTAGCACTCAACACGCAGATCTCCTCTTTCACAGGTCATCCGACTCCACCTGAACAGACTTCTGTTGGATAGGCTAGTACAGGTGCATGCAAAGCCTCTGATCCCTCTGGTTTGATAAAATGCTTCTCTAATTCCAACTCCCAAACAAAGAGTTCAATGCTGTAGCGTTGGCCATCCCTTCCCTGTGGCGCTCCCATGACACTTTTGATATCTTATATTTCTCTCTTCCACATTCAATTTCTTGGCTTAGTTAAAATGAATTAACCACAGTAAAGCTCATAATTACTAATTAAGTCAAGATTATACAAACATTCATTTTAATTTATATTAATTATTTGAATTTTGAAACAGTGGATGTACACTCAAGACTTGGACATTATCAAGTAGCAATAATTAATGCATCACTCCAAATTATCCTGTCTCTTTCCTAGTATACATCTTTTAAAAAACTTTCTGATAGGAAATACTTGAGTTTGCAAGTCTTCCTAACCAAAACCAGGGAATCTCAACAGCACAATTGCTGTCCACCGCAGGAAATTGCAGAAAAAACAGGAAGAAAATTGAGAAAAACAGTAGAATCTCGTAGGGAAAACGGAGCAAACGCTTTTTATTTCAATGGAGATGAAAAGCACTTGCAAGATACAAATTTCCTTCAATTCGAGAGGAAGGAAAAAAACTCTCCAAGATCTCCGGCAATGCCAAGAGCCCAAAACACAAACCCTAGATCTCCAAATTGATTCAAATTCAAGATAATCCCCCCTTTCCTCCTAATCTCCTAATTAACCATAAATGAGTTTTACAAAATGTCTAAATAGCCCATCGCATTCAAAATTTCCCTCCCAAAACTCCTCCTTGGCCCCCGTCGGATGTGCTCGTTCCGCTCGGTTCCGCCCGCCCTGTTTGTTTCCGCCTCGAGTAGGTGTGGACCGGTCCGGGTTGGACTGGTCCAGCCGGCTCAAGTGCCGGCCTAACACCACTTTAAAACAAATATTGGAAGTATGCCATGAGAGGAGATAAATGCTATAAAAGAAAAGCATATTTAGGAGATCGTTGATCTGTTAAAAGAGAAGAAAACATATAATGTAAATGGATTTTTCTATCAAATTTAGGGCAAACGGAAGCTTGAAATGGTATAAAGTGAGATTGGAGCTAAATGATCTATTCAATCATATGGAATTGATTGTCCAGAAACTTTTGCTCATGCTGCAAAAATGAATACAATTTGCATCTTTATTTTTCTTGTAGCTAATCATGGATGGTATATGCAACAATATGATGCAAAGAATGCTCTCTTACATGTGAACGTTGAAGTCGTCTTTATGGATCCACTATTTGGATTTATTAGTTCTTTCATAAATTACAATGTGCACGCTTAAAAAAAAAAGTCTCTTTATGGCTTTAAAATTTTTTTAGAGAGCACAGTTTCATGGATTCTCAAGATCCATCAATGGAGCTAGATAAAAACAAAACCGTGAAGATCATATCCTCTTCATAAAATATTCACTAATGATAAATTCTCAATTGTCATCATATATATTCGTGATATAACTGTCACAGGTGATAACCATTGAAAAAATGAGTCTATCAAGAAAAATTTGCGGAAGATTTAAAGATAAAAATGTAGGGTAAATTCAAATACTGAAGATTTTAAGATAAAAATGTAGGGTAAATTCAAATACTTCTTGAGAGTAGAAGTTGCTCAATCAGAACAAAGAATATTTTTTTCTTAATAAAAATTTATCACATATCTATTGCATGAAATAAAAATGATTGATTGTAAATCATGTGAAACCTTACTTGAATCAGTTCTAAAGTTTTATATAATCTAAGAAGGAATAAGTTGAGATAGGACAATCTCAAATATTAGTTGAAAAATGATTTTTATACCACGCACCCATTCAAATATTGCATTTGTAGTGAGTCTCAGTAGTCAGTTCATGCATAAACCTAAAGAGTCTCAGTTTTAAGATACTTATAGAATCCTCATATACTTTAAATCTTGTCGTGGTAAAGGAATTTTCTATAAAAAGTAAGATATTTTACAAATTGAAGGGTATGCTGATGGAGACTATGCAGGATCACGGGTATATAAAAAATTCATTGTTGGACATTGTACATTTTTGGGAGTAAGAAACAACTTGCTATTCAAGATCTAGCGTTGAATTTAAATTTAGATCTAGTGCCCAAAGAATTTGTAGTCTTCTATGTGTCAAAATCATTTTGGAAGATTTAAAATCAAATGAGAAGAGCCAATGTAGATATTTGTGGCAATAAATTTGTCATTAGCATTTCTCATGATCGAGTAGAACATGAACGTGCCAAGCATGTGGAGGTACATAGACATTTCATACAAGAGAAATAAGAAAGTGGGTTGATTTGCACTCCATGTGCGCGAACATGAAATCAACTAGCAAACATTTTCACTAAAGGACTCTGTAACCCCACATTCAAAAATTTTTTTAACGACTTGGAATGTTAGATAAATACCGTTTAGTTTGAGGGGGACTTTTAAAAGATCGTTGGACCCACAAGTCAACAAATCTTTGTAAGGATCTTTGATTACATTGATTAAGGGTTTTAAACATTGGATCAATCCTCTTATGATAAGTACACAGATTAAGGGTTTTAAACATTGGATTGATCCTGATATTTATATTGCAATTTGTGTACAACTTTTTTGATGAGGACATTCTGGTGCGTTTATCAGAGGAGACATCGTAGATCGACTACTACGATTAGGAGTCTTTACTTGTGATGCATTTTATGTATTTCTTTTATTTATGTTCTAATTTTTTACCATTGTACTCCTGAGAGGGATTAGTTCGTGTTGTAGCCCAGAGGACAATTTAGTCTTTGTGTTTTGTTCCATGAGGTCTATATATGAAGGCCTTAGTTTTTGTATTGGGATGATGATGGATTAATGAGAATTTTTGCTTTCTTGTTCCCTCAAGTGTTGATAGCTCTAGTGAGAGGTGAAGTCCTTAGGTGAGGGCAAAACAACTCCTGCTAGCCGCAGGACGAGTTCGGTCTCTCGGCTTACACTCCCCTACCATTCCTCCCACTTTTCTTCCTCCCTAGCAGCTGGCCTCCTCCCCAACTTCCTCCAAAACAGCCGGCCTCCCTCCTCCTCTAACTGCCGACCTCTTTCCCCTCTCCACCTCAAGCCACCGGCCCCCTCCCCACACAACCCAACCCTACGGCCCCAAGCCCCACCGCCAATCCTTTCCCCCACCGAACCCCAAGATTCGACCCCTCCCCTAGCCGCAGGCCTACCTAGCTCACACCCTAGCCGCCAACCCACTCCTACACTAATCCCTTGATTTCAAATTCAAATTGCTCTTAAATACCTTCATAATTTATCCTATTATTAATTTAGATAGTCTCTTAATTTGAATTCAAATAGATTTGAATTTCAAATCCTCTCCTAATTAATAAATCTATTTTAGGAAGCTCCCCTAATCGCTCACAATCTAAAATTAATTTGGATTTAATTCCAAATCACACATTCATTGCATGTAGACACATTCGTTGAATGTGGACACCCTCCCCCCTTAGGCCGACCCCGCTACCCCTCTCTCTCTTAATTACTTCCTCCTATTAATGCTCTCAAATAAAGCCCCTCCCATCTACGAATGCCGCCCCACCCTAGCTCAATTAGAGGAAATTCAAATTTTGAATTATTCTCTCCTTCCATCCTTGAAATCTGAAATTAAATTTCAAATTTTAAATTGTTTTCCCTTCACCAACATAAACCTAAAATCTAAAATTAAAGTGACCCCTCCCCTAGCCTTGTCCGACCACCCAAACCTCTCCCTCCTCGCCTTCTCTTCTTCCTTGCTTCATACACCATCCAAGGAAGAAGAAACACAACTCCGGCTTAAGTCCCCATGAATGGCCGATCCTGAACAAGACCATGGGTTCATATATGATCATCAAGGACGAGTAGATGTGTTGAGATCACCCTTCTTCAACATCAACTTGGAGATCGACCACATCGTCGAAGACTACTTCGATCAGATCCTTTTCACTTTGACGACCACCATCGACGAGCACCAAACCCTCAGACAGTGCAAGTTCTCCAACATCCACCGACTTCTTCCCCTCCGGATAATTTTTCATTGGGTAATATTATAGGCGTCTTCTATCTTTTGGTGGAGTCATTAAGTTTGCTGAACTTATTCTTCCGCTAAATAGCTCTCAAGAGTGTGAGTGAGGGGAACTCAAGATGAATTTTCTAATTGTTAACTGGTGGATTTCTACTACTTGTGCATCTAGCTTTATTATAAGTTTGTTATTATTTTAAATTGCCCTCCTAATCTAGTTTGTAACCACATGCCAAAGCAAAACAACTAAGAAATCCTAGAATCTAAATCTAGTGAAACATTAATTTTAAAATTGGCAAGCTTAGCAACTTTTATTAAATTCTTGCAATTCCTTTTATGTTTCACATCACTTTCCTATTTTAGCCGTCAACCGGTTTTGAGAATTTTTTGCTTAAAAAAAAAATAATTTTGATTTATTTTCATTATAAACTTTTTGGAGAGCTCTTTAAATTCTTCAATGGGAAGTCTATATATTTTTCCACACTTTGTTTAGAGTCATGCCATAAAATTCAAGCTAGTATTTTCTGTTTTTCTACAGAAAGTTAAATACAAGGTTTCCCAAGTTTAAAATATTTTGATTGACGGGAAGCGGCTCCACTGATACATTCAAAGGAACTTAGAATTAATCACCCAGGATGAATTAGATGCTAAGGTTGCGTCTAGGATTGCTGAAACACTCAAGGTGCTAAAATGCTACCGTGCTTGCATCAGTGGGCAAATACTTTTACTAAGCTTTAAAAATAAATAAATTTATTGTTAATTCATAATCACCTGATTGTTATTTCTCATTATGATGGGGTTTCTTGCTAATTATAGAGGTAAACCTCAGCATAACATTCTCCTCTGACGCAGATTCTAGAAGCACCAAATGAAGAGGAAGTCTCTCTGCTTTTGGAAATTTTTGGGTAAGGCTGTTCTTTTTTTAACCCTTTCTTCTGTAGCTTACTCATCTTTAAGAAGCAATTTATATCTCAATAAAGCTACTATAAGTTTGATAACGACAATTTTTTGGTTAGGCGTATAAAATATTCATGCGCTTCTTCCCAAAGTGCCTGCCTTTTGCTTCTTAAAAATCGCATCAATTTTGTTTCTTCTATAGATGGACCACTTTGTTTAGTATGACGCAACCCTTGTCCCAAATTTGAGTATATAACCATTTAAAAACATCGTAACTATCTTACCAGTTCTTACTGATGTTTTCTGTTGGGTCTTACTGCCATTTCTTTTAGGTTTTTTCATATTTAATCCTTTCTTGTATCCGATGACAAATTAATACTATCATAACATATTGTAGTGGTTTTGTTGTTGATTGCTTTAGGTATAATGCTTTTAGATCTAGTTATACTCACCAATCGATTGTTGCTTTCCTTCTAGTTTCAAGTTTCTGTTTTGTAGTTTCCTTTATACTGTTTCATGTTTAGTTGATTCCTTTTTTTCCTTCTTGGGTTTAGCTCCCTTGACTCTGGGTTAAACCTGAGGTATGAACAAATTTTATCAAGTTTATTTCAATAGTTCGCAACCCCCTTAACTTCCACAATGATCTAGATTAGACAATGAAGCGCAATAAATCTGAAAGGTCTTAAAATATGTATTATCACATGGGATAAAAAAATTAATCATGCTATGAATTTGGTTTTAATGAGAACCCGTAGCCATAGCACCCGCTTGCAAGCATATACCTATTTTTTCCATAGAAACTTTACTGATATTTTTTAACATCTTATTGAAGCGGATACTACATGACTCTTTTGAAAATTTTCTACATATGATTGGTTTTGCAGTCCATGATTATGAAATTTTATATTTTAAAATGCTCAATTTAGTTTTTTTGACTTTTCTAAATTTGATTGTTTGTCACTTCGAAGGATTTTGTTCTAAGTTGTTACGGTAATTATTTGCAGACTCTGTTTTACAGGAGGGAAGGAAGTTCATAATGCAATTATTAGCAGCATTCAGGATTTGGCCAAAGCATTCTCATCGTACCAAGATGAAGTACTGGTATATCTATTTACGATCATCTTTTCCTTTGAAAGCAAGTACAGAGCTTCATTGGACAGTATAAGATTTGAAATAATAATATTGAAAAGTATTGATAAACAGCATATATGTTTTTATTTATGTTTATATCCTCATAATTGATAATATTTTTTCATACCCTCTAATGCGGATATCCCATCTTGAAGATTTTCAAAGGAGGAGACGACGATCAACGGCTGAGATCATTCCACCTTATCTTAATTTGTTACTTCTAATTTTTATTTTTATTATGAATTTTCCGTTTTTACCCTTACTTAAGAGGGTCGTTCTATGTAAGCCCTAGGGGCATATGTATCTTGTTTTAGTTTTTTAGGCCTATAGATAGAGGCCCTTACTTGTGTAATGTAATGTTGGATTATTAATAAAAAAAGAATTGGAGCATTTGTCTTGATCTCGGTGTGAGTTCTAGAGAGGAAAAGTCCTATGGGAGGATAACCTTATTTCCACCAGCCGTAGGATGGATCCAGGCTCGTGGATTGAAGTCCCTCGGGGAGGGCAACGTAGTACCCACCAGCCACAGGAAGAGTTCGGGCTCGTGGTTTGTATCTTTTTTTTTTCTTCTTTATTTTTGTTTCTTCTTATTTTTCCTAATCGCCACCTCAATCTTCTCTCCAATATGCCGGCTTCATCCCCTCCACACAAACCCGCCAGCCTCTTCCCCCTACTCCACCCAAAATCCAAACTGATCCCCTCCAACTTAAACCGTCGGCTCCCACCAAGCATAGCTGCCGGCCTTGCCACCTAATCTTGCCCTTCCCCACACCCTAATTTTACTACTTTCCTAAAATAATGTTACTTATTTAGAAAGATTTTGAATTCAAATTCAAATCATTTTGAATTTCAAATTCTTTTCCTAAATAACTACTCCATCTCAAGAAACCACCTCAATCTATTCCAATCTGAAATAAATTCAGATTTAATTTAATTCCCCACATTCAATGAACCTAGACACCCTCTCTCCCCAATTCAAATCTTCCCCATTAATTCCTAGGCCCATTAATGATCCTCAAATCAATCAATCAAAGCCCAATTAATTCCTTCCCTTAAGGCTGAGATTATTTTCAGACTTTTGAATCCATTTTTTTCCCTATTCAAGTTCAAATTTATTGGAATTAAATTCCTTTTCCCCCTCCTCCCTATTGCCGGCCACTTCCCCATCTTCTTTCCCTTAAACTAGTTGACCAAGCCCTTATTTCATCCCTCCCAACACCAATTCCTGCAGGTTTTCACATTGCATGCCTGCTGTCCTGCATACAAAAACCAATCCTTTGATGTCCCGAAGGAGAGTAAGTGTTGTCCTGAATCTCTCGTGGCTTCTCCTTTCTGTCCAGAATTCATGTAGGCAGATTTCTCTCTGCTGTCCTCAAATTTCAGCAGGAATACGCGCTGTCCTGCTTACTAGGTGGCATTTCCCCTGTAGGCCAGAAAATTCCAGCCAAGATCCTTGTTGTCTAGTCCTCCGGAAAGGCGTCACTTGCTGACCAGAAGCTCCAGTACATCAAATATTGATGTTCATTCTACATCAGTTTGGTATCAGAGCATGGTTACCTGGGATGCGGACTCGACGGAGTCGAGCTCTTTTCCACCCCGGGAGAATGATGCAGACATCCGATCATGAAGATTTTCAAAGGAGGAGACGACGATCGACGACCGAGATCATTCCACCTTATCTTAATTTGTTACTTCTAGTTTTTATTTTTATTATGAATTTTTCATTTTTACCCTTACTTAAGAGGGTCATCCTATGTAAGCCCTAGGGGCATATGTGTCTTGTTTTAGTTTCTTAGGCCTATAGATGGAGGCCCTTGTGTAATGTAATGATGGATGATTGATTAAGATTTCTTCATTCCTTGAGTTCTTGTAAGAGCTTGAGAGTTTAAGAGATAAATCCCTAGGCGAGGGAAAACGGATCACCCACCAACCTTGGAGACGGCCGGGTTCATGGTTTGTTTATCGTTATTGTATTTTCTTTCTTTCCTTCTCCTTTTCCTCCCAGCCGCCCGATTCACTAGCTGAACCACCACTGCCGGCATTACTTTCCTCTTCCCAAACCCTTAACCGCCGGCCATTTAAAACCCCACCTCCACCCGTCGCCTACACTTAACCCGCCACCCCATCAACGGCTAATCCCCATTGCCGGTCACCCGTAGGCCTCTCCCTCCATCCCCACTTACTATCAATTCTTTCCTAAATTAGAATTCATAAATTTGGTAACTCATTATTGATTAAATTCAAATCAATTTGAATTTAAAATAGTTACCTAATTTATAAATCTTATTTTAGGAAACCTATTAAATTAAATATTATTTAAATTTTAAATTAAGAGAGGATGGGATATTTCTTTCCAATTTAAGTAAGCATTAATTACCACATTAAAGTCCCTCCTCCCCCTATAAGCCGCCGGCCCCCCCTTGGATTTTGGAATTGGATTTGTTTCCTAAAGCCACCTCCTCTCTTGGAAACAATTCAAATTCTTTCCCTTTTCTCTTGGTCTAAATCTCCAAGGTCCACTTCAATTTCTGTCCACAAAATTCAGCCCCCACGTTGGAAATAATTCCAAAATCTAGCCGCCTCCTCCTTGGCAGATTTGCTGAGTTTTACGTCTCCAATTTCCTCCTAAATTCCATCCGGTTTATATTTTCTTGCTCCCCAAGCTTGCTGCCAGAAGTTCCTTCATCTGCCACTTGGTTTTCCTTCAACCTGAAGGTTTACAAACGACTTCCTTGAGAGGACAGCTTACTGCCCAATAGTTCCCGCCGGCTCCTTTATAGTTACTTTGTCTTTTAGTCATTTAACTTCTGCTTTATAAGTTATATTGTTGTAGTTATCTCCATTCTTTTGTGTTATAAATTCAATGTATTTGATTTTATTTCATCTAAGTTTCTATATCACTTAATTAATAGTATTAACTAATAATTATAAATTTAACATTAACTAATTTCCATATGATTTATTTAATTTTGATCTTTTAATCCTAAGCTTTCATCTTTTATATCATTTATTTTAGGGGTGTCAAATTTTGACACGACCCAAACCCGACTTGAAAAAATTTGGGTTCGGGTTGACCCGGTTAGCAAACGGGTCGGGTTCGTGTCCGAATAGCTGACCCGATTTGAGTTTTGGGTCGAATTTGTGTTGACCCGGAAACCCGAAAATAACCCGAAAATGACCCAGAATTGGTTCTGCCCGGCCTACCTGCCCTGCCCGCGAAAAGACCTGGCTCCGACGCGTCGAGTCGAGCTGCAATGCTCAGTCCGCGACTCCGCGTCAGCCGTCAACGATCAGTTGCGTGACGCGACTCGCGTTGCGTCTCTTTGCCGGCTCGCTGCTCTTCGCGCTTAGCACGACGCAGCTCGGCCGCTGCTGCTGCTGTACCGCTGCTTTGCCGGGATTGCTTGCCGCCTCGCCGGAACTGGAAGTAGCGCCACATCTTTAGCCGTATCCCTTAAATTCGTGTTGGGTTGGGTCAACCCGGAAACCCGACGAGTCGGGTCCGAATTGAACAAACCGACCCGTTTACAAAATCGGGTCGTGTCATATAGCGCCGGGTCAGTTTCAAGTTCGACCCGAATCCGACCTGTTGACCCGAATTGACACCCCTAATTTATTTATTCTTACAAGAGGTCTCACTTTCAAACTCTACAATCTATTAATATTATAAACCTACAAACTCCACAATTTCTAAATGCAATAAACTTGAGTGCATCAATTTATCTCTACAACAACAACAACAACAACAACAACAACAACAACAACAACATCAACATCTATCCTTTATCTCACTATGTTAGGTCGGCATCAATTTATTCTTATTTCAGGGAAAAAAATTGCCATTTAGTATTTACCCTTATATATTCACATTGTGATTGTAAACTCCTTAGTAAGTTTTCTAGAGGAGGTTCTTTATTCATGTTGCATTTTTATTATGATTTGAAGCACTTAGGTAAGCTTGCAAGATGAGGCCATAAGATGTTCTTTATCGTATTTGATCTCAACATCATAATATATTTGAAAAAAAAAAATTGAATAATATTTTGATATAAAATTTATTAGGACAGACTTAAAATTATTAGATTTGCTTTGAGATTAGTGTAATACAAAATCTTCATATGCATTCCTGCATTCCTAATCGTAAAGCAAATGCAATGATTTTCAAGCTTATTCTGATACAATTTGTATTAAAATGTACTGACAATACTTTCATTAGCTTTTGTGTTAATAGTTAGTAATTTTCAACCTATTCATTGACGATGTTGTATAGATCTCATTGTTGGACAGTAAAAAGTTTTTAATGTCTAAGTTGTGTATGCCAGTGAGAATTTTAAGACAAATGCATGGATAGCTAAAAATGGTAAATTAAGAAATTAATATTCGAGAATGATTAGAGTGAGAACTATCTAAGATAAAGCAATTTAAAATTTATTTAGGTGGTCTGAGTATGTACAAAGAGGGTTATAAAGTGAACATATTAAACTAGTGTGTAAAATTAGTACCATAGGATTAAGAAGCATAAGGATTTGCAAAGCATAGATTTACTCACACAAAATTGTGTATTGGAACTTATGACAAATGGCCATTCAGGAAACCGATCCTAAATAGTTGGGATAAGCTAAAGATGATGAGTTTGTAAGTACATCTTCAGTTTATTATTATTTTTGTTTTAGTTTAAAGAATTGGAAGCGCTAACAAGTATTTAGTTAGGTCATGCTATTCCTATGAATACGCCCCTTCATTTGTTATCATTAGTTTATGAATATTATTTAATTCTTGGTCTGGGATTTTTGGCCAGCACTAATATTGGTCTTTGGATTATGTGAGGCTTTCCCTTGCCTTTTAGAGTGTTGGAGATCATTGAGATGGCCAATTCCTTTGTTCATCGTTAAATTCTTTCTGCCGTATTTTTCTTCTATAGTCGCCAACAACATCTCTTTCCATCAAAATGTGGAGCGTAATTCTATAAATTTGTATCTCAGAAGGCTTACAAAGAGAGTACTGAGTAGAACAAAAATTAAAATTTTTTATGATTTGTATAATATATATGGTACTAAGGGAATGATAAAAGGAAATATATAGAATAATTAATGTAAGAGTTTAGCGATCTAGGGATTTTATTCAAATTAACTACATTTGAAGTGAAAATAATAGGATATTGGATAAAGATGATGACATCCGAAGAAGGTAAAACTATTGATTAAGAAATTATGAAGTTATTTATGGGGAAAAAAAATTTTGGAAGAACAGAAAAAACAATATGATGTAATATATTATTGATTGATTAAAAAAAAGTTAGATGAAATTATTCTATATAAGATGCATGAAGGCATTAGGTTCAGATGAGATTCTTATTGAGATCTCAAGGGTTACAAAGGATATTGCTGTGATTTGTTTAATAAATATTTTTTATAAAATTTTGAAGACTAAGATGATATCAAATGATTGAAGAAACATTTTAGTATCAATAATTAGGAACAATGACGATGTTCAAGATTTTGCTAATTATAGAGTAATCAAGCTTATGAGTTGTGATGGATCTATGGGTGATTTATGGAATATACTTTCAAAAAATTTCATAAATTTTAGAGAACCAATTTAGTTTTATGCTAAATTAATGGAGAAGTATAGAAAACGAAGAAAATATTTTCATATGTAGGGGTGTCAATTCGGGGCGGGCAGGGGCAGGGCAGAGCGGGCAGCGGCCGGGCAGCGAAAAATTCAAATTTTTTTAAAATAAACGGGTTTGCGGGTTGACCCGGCAACCCGCCGGGTTAACCCGAACCTGACCCGTTTATCAAACGGGTCGGGTCCAACCCGGATTTTCGGGGTCGGGTCTGGGTCGGGTTTTCGGGTCGTGTCAAATATTGACACCCCTATTCATATGTTTGGTCATGAAAAAATATTCATATGATTTTTCTTGATCATGGGAAGACATATGATTGAGTACAATGAACAAAAAAAAAAAAAGATTGAGTACAATGATAATTGATTTGATGTTCTTTAAGGTTAAATGGTGTGTTTCAAATATATGTTGACATTAGTAAAAATATTTATGATGGACTACTTGTTTGGAGTTACCCATTTATTTTCAATTCTATAGATTTACATTAAATATCATCATTGAGTCTTTATATTTTTGTATTGGTTATGATGATTCTTACAAATGATATTTAAATTGAGCTGCTTGGCATCTTCTTTTTGTGGATGATATAGTTCTAATATGCCCTTTTTTGTTTTTAATCTATTATTTTCTTACTCTACATATATAAGTGATATAATAAACAAGGGCAAACATTGTTATTGTTAATAAAAATATTACAATATTTCATTAGCAGGCACAATTTATTGCTAAAATCATACGTATTTAAAATATATTTAGTCATATAAAGAAATAATTTTTAAGAAAGAAAAATGATATAAATAATAAAATAATTTAGATAATATCATAATAGTAACTTTTCTTAAAAATAGGAGTATATGTAATGAGTATTGTTTATAATTATTGTAATCATCATGCAAAGTATAAAAATTGATTATTTAAGCCCATTAAGAGCTGCTTTTAGTTTTTTTTAAATATCTATAAAATTGTGAGTTAATCACTTATAAATATAAAATGAATTTGTTTTCATGAATTATCCATTTCTGTAATTCTTTTTTCTTGCATTTAAACAGAGTTTGTTTGCTAGTACTTTGTAATGCATGTTATTCCTTCTGCTATTTCTAGAATAACAAATCAAGCTAAATAAGGTGGACTGTGAATTGTTGCAAAGAAGTAAACCTGACTTTTCTTTGCCATCAACATAAGGATTCCTTTTCTGTTTTCTGTGATTCTCTGAGATTTAGAAATTACGTCCACCATTAGTTCTCTCTTTTGATGCCATAGCCTGTGTCACATGATCATATCTCAGTTCGCTACTTGGCTTGACAAGTCAACTTTAGAAGATTGAGGATAAATAGATGGGTTTAATCTTTGGAGTTTCTATTCTGATTTTATTAGATATGTCTAGTATTTTATTGATAATTGTTGAGCATTATTTGATTACTTCAAGGATTGTTCATTCTTTTTTGACGTGCACAATGTATAAATACTCAAAGGCGGATGTATATTCTAGTGTGTTGTGGACATATTTCTCAGGTAAAGAGGGAGGAACTACTTCAGTTTGCTCAAGGTGCCGTTTCAGGGCTGAAGTTAAATGCTGATGTTGCAAGGTCGGCAAGCAACTTTATCGTGTTTTTATTTTACTGTCAGTTTTCAGGTATTATTCATGGTTATGATCATTTGTTCAACCACGAGAGGTGTAGTTATTTCTGTATGTATTGTATAAATTACAAAAACAGAATGATGTTGCATGGTTTGTGAGCAACTTTGTTGTGTTTTAATTTTAATGCCTGCGACCATGTTTTGTTTATTTTAAAACACAGAAAATGCTATTTAGTTTTTATATATTTTCAGAAAAAAAAACTAGGCAAATGATTGATGTGCCTTTATGAAACATTCAAGCAAGCTTTTTTTCTTAATGTAAATTTTCTGAATTTCGCTCGATTATATGCTATTACTTCTGTTATACTAATTCGCTTGTTTTAATAATTATCTAATCCTTCTCGTCTGGGCAATGTGTAATGAATTGGAGTACATTTAGGCCTTAACATCCATATCAGCTCAACTACAATAATTGAACTAGTAAAAACTACCGTTACTATAAGCATCATGGACTGTCCAACTTTTGCTTATATGTGTGAACCATTTTTACGGCCTATCTTCATCTAACACTTTATATGCTTTCATAACCATCTTGTAAATGCATCAATTGATTGATGTAGGACATTTTATGGAATGTAGGTGTAGCGTGCAATGTAGTTATAGATACATTCAGCCCATGAAACAAATATGCAGTTTTAATGGGAGACAAACTATTAAACAACAATATTCTACTTTTGATGAAATCGAAGATGGTTAAATTCCAATTCAGATGTAATGAGTTTTAGCTTTGTAAAATACATAATAATAAGAAATTTAATGATCATGAGACATATGAATAGTTGAAACTTATACAAAAGTAGGTTAATCTTATTGTTTTGATTTTGACAAAGCTTAATCTCACTTCCAACCAAAGAAAAAAATCAGTTAGTGAAGGGGGGGGGGGGGGGGGGGGGGGGGGGGAAGAGAGGAGAGGGGGAGAGAGAGAGAGAGAGAGAGAGAGATAGGAAAAATTGACTCCTAAAAAATATTCTTATGCTTTTACAAGGAATCAACCTCTCTTAGAATTCTGCAAGTCACATAGTTGTTTAATATCATGATATGTAGAAAGTTGAAGGATTTGCACATCCAAACTCAAAGTTTTATTAACCATAAAACTAATTTCATTTGCATCAGATACACGCATTTAGACTGCTAACTATGATAAGAAGAAACTGCTGGAGGAGGATTCGAAAGTCCACAAGAATCCCAACTGCAAAGAAGATATGTTCCCAACCTAGAAATCTTGTAAGTAAGAACCCCCGCTAGCCAGCGATAGTCCCACCTCTAATTTACAACCCTAGACAAGAGAAATATGAAGAACCTAGACATGTTGAAGGAAGAAGCTGTGAAAACAGCTAAATTAAGTAGTTGCAAGAAAGGTATCCACTAAAAAACCACAAATGAATCCCTGGCAATTGTACTAAAAGGCGACTTAATCCATTTTGCCTGCCTATGAAAATTTTAGCTTTGAGGAATTCTTTCTACAAAATTAGGTATACTTGTTGGATTTTTCAATTGAGTTGTCATTTGTAAGTTTATCTCTAAAATTTGCAAGTTACATTTGGTATCCACCATTAATAATGGACGTAATTTCATAAACAATAAATAATATTCTTAGGAAGAAGATTAAAATATTTTTCTTATGAATATCACGATTGTAAAACTAGCAGGAGGTTTAAATGAAAAGAATTGAAGGCATTTATAGATGGTTCACGATATAAAATTAGATAACGCACATTAAAAAATTGGACTAATGTATTGATTTTTTTTTTTAATTTTTGACTTTTATGTAGTCAACCAAGTTTTATTTTATGATTTTATGTGATCATGCTTTTTATGAAACTATTTTCCAGAAGGGTTGATGAAAGAAACTTTTATGGATCTTGATAGACCATCATCTTATCTTTATTTGAATTTCACATATCTTATTTAACATGTGCATTAAATTTTTAATTGTTATACAAGTTTCAATGAATTTTTTATAGAAGTTAGGCTATGAATAATTGATATTGTAGTAGGATGTGATGCTTATAGGGTAACAATGAAATACTTCTTAATGGATAAATAATTGGTATTTGATAGGAAACAAGATTCTTCTTACCAACTTGATTTTGTTGCGCATGGTAACAAACATGCATAAACCATTTCTCGAAGTATGTGTCTAGATTGTCCAAGTCTCGATAGTTCACTCTAGGTTTTCTCGTTAAAAAACAACATCAATGAAGATGTATATGCGCACTATTATATGGTGGAGATTGCAAATTTTCATGAATTTTCCATTGTTCCCTCAACGTGGGAACTTGCTTTTTTCTATTTTTTGTAAGGATCAACGAATCCAATAATATTTTTGTTTCAATTTTTGGAGCTTTTCTCCCTTTGAAAGATGGGGTTAAAGGTGTATATTTATATATATTATCATGCAATGAAGTTCTTATGAAAGTTTCAATAATATGCTCTTCTTATAACTGAATAATCACATTTTATATAAACAAACAACTTTTATGAAGGAAAAAAATCCAAATAGTTTAATTATTAAGAGTAATGGACTATGTACATTTGGAATCAACCTAACAATAGAGTATTATCTTTTATTTTTTTCTTCAAGGCAATTGTGATTAATCAATTCATGAATATGTTGTTATGATTTGATTTTTCCTGTAATTTTTTTTTCTTTTAATTTTAAATCAAATAATTAAGAATAAAAAAATATTTTTGTTATCGTTTTAATTGCTAATTCACTAAGAGTTGATTTTTAAAATTATTTCTTTGGTTTAAATTACATCATATGAATGATCTGTGCTGTTCAAAGTTAGGAACACTAATTGAGGTTTAGATTCATATACGATGTCATATTAAATTTTAGTTTTAGATTTATATTTTAACTCTTGTTCAATTTTAGGACCATATGCATGAATATATTATAATGTAGACTATAGTACACATTCAGTTGCAAATTATGATGCAAGTTTGTATTTGGTTCTAAATTTAAGATTAATTATAGAATCATTTTGTAGCTTCAAATATTTTTCATTTCAATGCTACACCTTGAAGGGTAAAAACAGTGAGAAAACAAGGAATAGATTCGTAGGAGATGAAAAATGAAATACGAAATTATATTGTCGAAATAATTAAATAAACACTGGAAATAGATGCTAGAATACCACAAGATACAAGTGATCCACTATTGGAGTGGTGGATCGACTTTCCCAAACCTAAGCGCAGCTAGGCACCAAGAATGCAACAACTCTCTAAAAAAAACAGCAATTAGCACATACTAAACTTAAAGAAAATAGCCCTGTTTATACACAACTCAACACTTCCTTCTATGGTGGTAATTAAAAGTGTGGAGAGTCCTAATTGTGGCTTTTCATGTTCCAAGGGTGGCTTTTCATATCACAAGAGTGGCTTTTCATATCCCGAGGATGGCTTTTCATATCCCAAGGGTGATTTTTCATGTCTTGAGAATGTCTTTTCATATCTCAAAGGAGGTGGGCCCAATGGTGCTAATCTCGTAATAATACTCGCCTCCCAAACAAGCAACTTGTCCTTAAGGTGGAAGGATGAAAATTATTTCTTGATCACCTCATACGATTCCCACGTAGCTTCATAATCAAATGGATCCCTCCATCGAATTAGAACCTCCTTTGCTCCTATCGCCCCTCGCCATATTCTAACGACCTTCATGTTTTTAAGAATCATCTCAATGTCCTCAGTCACTGTCCTAGGTAGCAAGGAAGAGGGTGTGTGATCTCTGATAGCACGCCTCAGTTATGATACATGGAATACTGGGTGTATTGATGATGATGCTGATAACCTCATACGATAGGCTACTGCCCCGATACAATTTGTCACCTCATAAGACTTGAAGTAACGTTGTGATAGCTTCTCATTCTTCCTCTTAGCCAGTGTCTTTTGCCAGTATGGTCTCAATTTCAAATAAATTATTTTCCTCGGGCTCGAACTATACTTCCTGTTTGTGTTCATCTACCTTCTTTTTCATAAGTAGTTAATTTCTCAGCAGATGCCTTTGAGTTCTGCTAGTATCTTGTCTCTCTCCTCCAAGTATTGATATGCAATGGATACTGGTGTAATGCTCTTCCCGTAAGTATCAAATGAGGTGGATCCCTCCCATACATAATCCTGAAAGTGGTAGTTCACGCAGCTGTGGAAAGATGTATTATATCAATACTTCGCCCATACTAATCATTTGGCCGATAGTTTTGGTGTGTCAGATATAAAACAACGCAAGTATGTTTACGTGCTCCTATTAACCACTTTCATTTGGTCATCCGTTAGTGGGTGATATGTCGTGCTCCTTTTTAGGATCGTCCCTTATATCTTGAATAATTTCCTTCAAAAAATGACTGAGGAATACCTTTTCTCTATCTGATGTTATAAATTCAGTAATGCCATGTAAGCACACTACCTTTTGAATAAAAATCGTGGCGACTAAGATAGTAGTGTAGGGATGTCTTAGCGGAATGAAATGGGCATACTTGCTTAGTTGTTCTAACACCACCAGTATCACTAAATATCCCTCGGAGCATGACAAACCCTCAATGAAGTCCATCGTCACTTCCTCCCAAACCTACTTAGGTAAATCTAATGGTTGCAGTAACCCCCCCCCCCGGTTGTCAAGTACTTGTGTCACAGACACACATCACACCTTGCTACCATACCTTCTACATCCCGATGCATTCTGGCCCATTATAACTCAGGTAATAGTCGGTTGTATGTCTTTTTTACTCTTGAATGTTCCCCTATCGCACTGTCATGAAACTCCTGCAGTAGCTTGGGAATGTAACATG